GGAATAGTTCATTATGAAACTTCAGGGGTGAATGAGTTAAATACCGCTTTGTAAGCACCTGCAGTACTTTGAAATAATGAGAGATGTTTTGTTTCAGGGGCTTGCTGTGTCGTTCAGTGATCCAGGCCCAGGCAGCCTCGCCTACCTTCACTCACGTGTATGCTGGTCTAGTCTCTGTCATCAACACAAAGGTCAGTTGTATATGTCTTAATTTCTACTCATCATGGACGCAATATCCCAACTAAAAAATATAAAGAATATTTTTCTATAAACTTTCCAGTTGGCCTATGTGCAGGGAATAGGCTCATTTATTGGTTGTTTTCACACATTTTTTTTACACAGATATCTCTGATTGAAATAAACAAGTATCTATATGTTATCACTGAATCTAATGCAAAACAGTGAGTGATGGCATGACCTGTGTTGGCACCTTCAAAGAAAGTAGACTTGCACAAATCTGTTATTTTAGAAATTATCAAAAAATTATCCAAATGGCACTGAATGTAAATATAAGGATTGAATGAATCCTGTTTTGTTTAGGTTTATGGAGTATAAACTTAAAATGGGTCTGGAGACAAATTCAATATGTGCAGTTATATTTGTCTTATTTTCAAGACCCATTGAGGTTGACCCTATACCTTATAAACAACACAACAGGATTCAATCCTTAAATAAATGTATCATTCTTCTTGCACTTTTATATATATACAGCATATCTCTGTTTATTATCAATTCCAAATATTTTTAAATAAACCTACTGTATACTTTTCTCTTCAGTTTCCACAAATTGGTGAGCTGATGATGCGTCGTCTGGTGATTCAGTTCCGTCGAGGATTTAAACGTAATGACAAAGCCTTGTGTCTATCCACAACACGCTTCCTAGCCCACCTAGTGAACCAGCAAGTTGTAAGTACAAGTTTATACGTGTGTCAAAGGGACAATACCCCGCTGAAAATAATGGTTCAGAAATAAAGCTCTGTACATTAAACACTGCTATACTACATACATTATGTAACCTAAAAACCTAACACCACTGCCATGAGAATTTCTCTTTGAAATAAATATTTTTTCAGTTACACTTCTAGCTAGAAATGTGTACTTTCACACAAGAAAATCTAACATTGGACCTCATATAAGAAAATCTTACATTTAACCTTAATAAAAAAATCTGACATTTGAACACATATAAAGAAAACCTAACATTTGACCTCAGATAAGAAAACCTAACATTTGACCTCAGATAAGAAAATCTGATGTTTGACCTCATATAAGAAAATCTGATGTCTAACAACATATAAGAAAATCTGACGTGTAACATCATATAAGAAAATCTGACATTTGACCTCATATAAGAAAATTGAACATTTGATCCCACCCATAGTTGTATAGTCAATAGTTAAACTGTAATGTTTGACACAGCAAAGTTAAACTTCTATTTGATACCATATAACTGGAGACTTTCGCCCTTTGGTGATAAAATCCAGTGCTAATTTTGCATTTTCCCATTGAATTACTGTGTATTTATGTTGATGACTAATATTCGCTCTAATTACAAATTCTCAACAAATTCTCCCTAATTACAGAGGGCTAAAAAGGCAAAAAAATCTCGTAATACAGTACATCCATTAAATTATGTAGTTTTGATTTTTGTACATGATTATTTGACCAGGCACACGAGGTGATAGCTCTGGAAATATTGACCCTATTACTGGAGAATCCTACAGATGACTCTGTAGAGGTGTCCATTGGTTTCCTGAAGGAGTCTGGTCAGAAGCTGACTGAGGTGTCGCCCCGGGGAATCAACGGTCAGTTGTCCATGACTGTTTGGTTACAGTGCTGTACATACTGTTTGACCAAACTGACATTGTGTAGTTTTTCCAGAAATAGTTAATGAGATTAATATTTAATTGTTTTAAGAACACATTGGTCAAAGTCAATAAGATCACTGCTACTTAAAAAAAATCATAATTGCTTCTTTGTAAATACTGTAACATTCTTGATGGGTCTTAATGAAACTTCACAGGTATGTCTCTAGTGGCTGTATTTCCCTTTTTTCGTGAATATTTTTGGATATTTGGATACCAGTAGAAGGTTTAAATACAGAACTAGTCTGAAGCATTTATTTTACCAGACTTAATTCAGAACGTCTAATACTTAGAAAAGCAAAAACTAAAAATAGTTTCATGTCAATTATATTTTGATTTCCAGCTATATTTGAGAGACTGCGGAACATCTTACATGAGGGCATGATAGATAAACGTGTGCAGTACATGATTGAGGTCATGTTTGCTGTCAGGAAAGACGGGTTCAAGGTATGACTCGAAGAAATGTTTGATTGTATTGCAATAATATTTTCAGGTTCTAAATACAGTCTACACTATCTAAACCCCAGAAATCTATTTGCAAATGCCATAACCAGAAGATAATTTAATTAGCCATGGAGGTAACTTGGTTTACTACGAAATGTCGAGCAGAGCATAGTTTGAAATAAAAGCATAAAGGAACGGTCAGCCAAGTTACTTTCATAGCAGTGTCTCATCCTAAGGAGTGAAAGGAAAAACAGTCGTAGATTTATTTATAAAGAACATGTTAATGATGATGTACTTACAAAAAATCATGGTGTTTTCCCTATTTCATTGGCCGAGTTATATGATTTCCCTCTTTTATTGGCTGAGTTATA